TGAATTTTATTATGTAATTTTAGATGTTGCAATAAATGGGGTATCAGAAGCGTTGCAGCCAAGGGCGTAGAACAAAAATTTCATATTTTTAAAAATTTAAAAATTAAAGTTTGGCGGTGGACATAGCCAGATGCGTTCAAACTTGACCTGCAACTACTACGTCAGAAATGAATTCTTATTGTTTGAAATCACAGCTTTCACACATCTGGTGCAAAAACTCACAGGCACAAAAAAGAAACAGACAAACGCTTCTTGTCGTCCCAATATTTCCACGAAATTCTGTATTTCTCCCACTACAATGACATTATTGCAAACGTCTGTGCAGCGTTTTAAAATTCATTTACTTCTCATTGTTGTTGGTTTGATTAATGTCTTATGTACATGTACATAACATGTTGTTGTGGTTCTCCTTATTTGTATAACCGAAAAAAGAGGTAAGCAATTTCAAATCAGATTCTTTTTATTTAAATTTATAAAAAATGTATCAACAGAATCATAAATAAACAGGCCAGTCAGAAGACATTGGATTTTTTCGTGAATAAAAAATAAAAAATCCACAACTTTTTGGTGAAACCAGAAACAAGTACCCCGAAAATTGAAAATATATGCAACAAGAAACCTTGGAAACATTGTCTTCTGAACAACAACCAACAAGTTTTGGAAAATTTCTAGGAGAAGTGGATGTGGGAACTTACGTCAATCAAGAAATCGGTGATCTAGAAAAATACAATATTTTAAAAAATGCATTTTTTCCCTACAGAGACTTTATTTTCCATTCTCAATTCATTACAAAAACGACAAAGAGATTAAGTGCTTTTTATCAGTAAAATATTTCAATTCTTTTAACTGGTTAACATATTCTCGAAATTTGAAAGGTGTTTTTTGTAAATTTTACGTTTTATTCGCTATCTTTCGCTAAATATAGATGTTTTCAAATCTATGAATAATCGGTAGTTAATTAGTTTGTGTGAAACAAGATGGACAGAATAAACACCAATCTGTCTTAAACTTTAAGCTTTCTTTTGAATACATAATAATTGACGCTTCAGAGTTGTTATCACAATGGAAAGACAATGATTCGTCCTCGAAACCTCGACACACCTCAAGAAAATTTCTATTTTAAAAGATATGCAACCCATACTACCTCGTTATGACAGCTGCCACTCATCTCTAAGGGTTAAAATTGTTTACAATAGTTTTATTACTGCTATTGTCAGCTGGGGCAAGTGTATCTCGGCTTGCACGTAGAGCAGAGGAAGGAACTAAAATATTTATCTACTAAAAAAGAAAACAAACAATATTTCTTAGCTTACGTTCGAGAAGTAAAAACGCAAAAACACGTCTATTGGTATATAAAAATTGCCATTTTGTAATATTAGTTTCAAAAGTTTTGAGCGATATTTGAGAAGTGTATGACGTCATCGATAATTTTTTAAATAGCACCTCCTACTTTTTTTTAGCATAAAGTCCCTTGAAAGAGAATTTTTGATATGTGGTTTAACCTAATTTACTGTCATAAGAAATGAAAAAAGCCAAATGTGTGTTTTAAAATAAATTAATAAAATCATTGTCAGAGACTGTTGAGATCTTTACTCGCAATACACATAACAAAAAAATGCTTGTTCATATATGTAACTCCGACCATAATTCTTACTCTTATTTTTAAATTCCTGTTTCCATAAAAATTCGTACGTGTTGGGCATATTCTGTAAGTAGGTAGAAAAGTAAAATTAAATTTCCAAGAATATTTTATTGTAGGTACGAAGGTACGTTATTGTGAGCATTTCTTAGTAATCTTGGAATTTTTCAACCCAAAATCTTACAAATTTAGGTAGGTACATACCTAGTTACCTCTCGAAATGTATTTTGAATGAAGCAAATTGGTCGAAGGTTATTTCGACAGAACTTCTCTCGCCTCTGAAATACAATAAAACAAACCCAGCTTTTTCGAAAAATTATAAAATTTAATTATGCGAATTTAATTTTTTTATGAGAACCCGGATATGTTAAATTCTACACGGATTTACACACCATAAATGCAGGAGTATCTTATTTTATAAAATTTAAAAAACTTTGTATTATAAATTTTGAATCTGACGTCATCCATTGGTGGTGGAGATGATTTGCCAAATTTTAGTTAGCGTTTAACCATTGTATCAAGGGCGATGCTTTGCTGCGGCAATAAGTTATAATAATAAGGGTACGTTCCTAATTCAGTTATTCAAAAAAATTTTTGGGGAGGCCAATGTTAGTATGCGAAGGCGTTTGCGGAAAAAAAAATGAAAAAAATAAAAACGCTTAATAAAATTAAAACCTCTATTAAAAAGTTGCGTATCCGAAGTACGAATTCCGGCAAAAATAATATCGTCGACGATGAACAAACGAAAACTGCAGATATATTACCTGAAGTGTATGAAAGAAAAAAATCGGATTTATTAATAAAGCTGTCACAGAGTAACGTAAACGCTATTGAAAAAAACTACTTGTGGTCAGCGAATGTGTAGTGAATGGAGTAAAGAAAGGACAAAATGAGAGATGAAATTAACACCGCAAATACCGTTAAAAGTATTGTGCATTTCGATAAAACTTTAATGAAAAAATTGCCCAAGTCTATACAGTTTGTTACTGACAATAAAGAAAAGGCCAAAGAAAAATTTGAAGCTCTAACAAATTTGAAAGTTGTCTCCTGTGGATTATTTACAGATAACGAAAAGAAATTTTTAGGAGCTTCTCCAGATGGCTTAATAAATTCTGATTCAATTGCAGAGAATAAATGTTCATATGCGGTTTGCGATAAAAATATTAAAGAAGCTATTTAAAATAAAATCATTAATTATTGTACAATAAATGCAGATAATAAAATTATTTTGAACCCTAACCACAACTACTTATATCTATCAGGTGCAGGGTCAACTGCATATTACTAAAAGAAAATGGTGTTATTTTATCATCTACACTAACGTAGATTTAGAATATTTTTTGATTGAAAGAGATGATGACTTTTGGAATAAACATATGGTCAACGCATTAGAAAATTTTTATTTAAATGCCATGCTACCAGAAATTGTTGACTCGTGGTGGAGTCGAAATCAGCAACTCCGAAATATATTGAAAAAAGATTTATAGACAAATGCAAGTTTTTTTTGGCAATAAGTGTAAAATGTTGAGTTTTAGCTTTGAAGGGGTCTTTGCTTTTTTATTATTATTTTTATTTTATTAATATGATTTTATTGATGATGATATTTTCCTGTGATTGTTTAATATTTAAATGCAGTGTATAGAGGCACGGATGTCAGCACTCTGTTTACCAAACTCACAAAACGCAAAACGATTACACCTTTTTGCTATTTATAAATTTCTGCTTGAAAATTCTTTGGTATCATAAAATCTATCTCTCCCTTTCGTACTGTCGGAGGCAACGTACATACTTCAAAGGATGGTCAAATAAGCTCAAGGTATTTAAAAGGTGCTCTACTATTTTGGGTTGCCTAACTTACCAAAATTTGCCCTAAATGCTTTGCAGTTTTTTTACAATAACTAAAAGAAGTAAAATTTTAACAGAAAACGAAAAATGGCGCCTAAAGCAGAAAAAAATTCTCTATCAACTCGATATTTTTTAAAAGCACACCGAGTTATAGTTTTCGCTAAAAATCCGCTCGGGTTTTACGCACTTTATTTTTTATTTTAAAAACGGCTACGTTTTTTAAAAAATACAAGACTCTTCCTTAAAGATTTTTATGTCATGAGCACGCAGATGTATCGCCCTACTCTTCAACTGTTAAAATGAAGGCGCAAAATGGGTTGGCGTTTTGCCTTATTTTGGCATCTTTTAATGACTGTGTGGAGGAGCCTTAACATATTCGTTCCTTACGACCAATTTTATTATGTCTCTTTTTTACTTGTCGTATTTTCTTATTTAAGTAAGCTATTACAAAAAAAAGTCAGTAGATAAAAATTTTGCAAAGTCATTAGTTGAAGAGATTACAGCTGTTTTAAGAAACAAAAGGGACAATGCAGATTCTTGTTTTGAGGGCATTTTCAGTGAAGTAGAAACAATTTTTTTATACCTACATTATGTAATATATCACATATTTATATTTTTTAAACTTTGGTATTATATTGCATTTAACATTTGAAAATTTTATTTTATTGTATAATTTTGTAAGTTATTTTTAATAGCAATATTTATAAGTAATATGTTGAGAAAGATCCTACCCTACCCCCTTAGACAACAAAAATATTTACGCTCCTGCCTGCTGATTCATTTTAGTACATAGGTACTGACATGTGGAAAAAATTTTGTTGTATAAAAACTTCAGCGATTCATATAAATTTCAAAATATTGCGCAATTAGCTTTTTTTATATTAACTCTACCACATTCGAATGCCGATGCGGAAGGAGTGTTTTCCGTGGTAAACGATATTAAAACAAAGAAAAGAAATCGTTTAGGAGACAACACATTCAATTCGATGTGCTTAATAAGATCTTCATTCAGTGCGCAAAAAATAAATTGCATTAATTAATTATGTATCGAACTGATTAAACCTGATTATTGTAAATAAATATTTTAGAAATAAGTTTTTTTTAATGAACTATTGGGGGAATTTTCGTTCAAAAAAGGGAAATTTGAACAAGCCGCTAGGGAAAAGACGTCGCAGTGACCTGGCAACATTCGTGCCTCGTTAGTTATGAAAATACAGCCCTTTTGCTGTCATAAAATTTTATTAGGATACAGATGTGAGATGAAATGCACCAGTGGTATTTTATCTGATACCACTGGTGCATTTCATCGCCTTGACTTTATTGCACGGTCAAACGAGTTATCTGTGAGATAACTTTAACCAGTCGTTGTACACAATTAATGTATTGGTAACGTACCCCTGAATACAAAATAACAGTACTGAAATGATAAGTAAAAAATGATCGGATATTATCGTCTAAATCTCAAAACCACATTAACCCTGTGCTCGGGTTGCAAACACTTAATTATTAACAAGACTTACCTGGTGTCGTTGCAAGGGACCAGTGAATCTCAAAACTATACCTACTGATATCGTGATATCGTATAAAAATTAATTATAAACGATTACTAGGCATTGGTTTAACACAATTTTCAAAGATAAAGTTCAAAAGTAAATGCAAAAATCACTTTCACCACTTTTACATGGGTACCCACTACACTTCTCTAGCGGCAAAAACCAACTGACATCTGCAATCTGCCATCTGCATCCCTGCGCCGCACGGGCATTGTCACATTGTCAGATTCACAAGGCCACAACACAACAAAAGCACTTCCACAGAACACTATCTCCTTCGAGTTAGTGCGAATCCGAACACTTCAAGGATAAATAGTTGCACATCGCAACCCGAATATTTTCGATACCATGACTAAGCGGTGGTCGGCTCAAAAGCGATTAATAATAACCGATAATAACTAAGTAACTATCAGTAATTTACAATCTTCTTTAAACTGACGGGGATGTTGTGGATATTTAGTTCCACTCTTCCACTACGTTTTCGAAGGATATTTATAAAAATTAATTATACTCCAATAAATATTATGTCGACCAAATAATGTACAGTAATGGCAATACAGCGTGTTAAACCAACAAATGGCAAAATTTGTATAAATCCATTGATACCGGGTGTCCCACCTAACATTTTCGGGTGCAATAACTCAGGTATTTTTGAAGGGATTTTTATGAAATTTAAAACAGGTGTAATATAATAGGTAAACATCAGGCATAACAAAGAAACTATTTTATCGTACAAAAAAACGAATTTTGACACAGCTTCCTGTTAAAAATTATTCAAAATTGCATTATATTTTATTATTATAATAATAATAATGATTTATTTAACGGTTAGACCACTTACAAAAATGGAAAAATATAACATAGACCAAACAAAAAAAATATATTAAAAACTAGTTGACAGTGTAGTCCGAATATTGCGCTTGAAAGAAGTGAGAGACACACCCACTATACAACTTTAAGCAACTAAAATAACGCCTGTGCGCGAAAAATTAATTAAAGCACTGTTTTTGTTTAAAAAAACTACGTTAATAAAAACGCAAAAATTAATGAATTTGTTTTTTTTTTAATTTAATAGTGCTGTCGGTGCAAAACAATTGCCTGAGACGCCGAGTTCAGTTTTGTACACCCTTGAAATTTTTGTCAAAATCTGACAAGTTATTGAAAATGGCTCGCTTTTCATTAATTATTAAAACAGAAATCATTTTAGCCTACGGAGAATGCCGTACAGACATAGATGAAACAATCAGTACTGTTATCGAACGGTATCACGACGACGAATTTACGAAATTCAAAGTACAGAGAATAACTTATTTGAAGATACGCCAAGTGTACAAGACCTAAAACGAGTGAAAAAAAACAAAATGTTAAATACATCTATATCTGCACTGGTCGGACATGCCCATTCATTACAAATACAATATTTTTGGAGGAAAATTTTTCTTAAACTTTCGCAAATCAATAATATTTAGGAGTATGGTTTTGTTATTTACCTTATCGTTTGCAACAAAAGCAATAGTTATAAAATATAAAAATATATTTACCAAGTAAATGACAATAAATTGTTAAAATTATTAGCCGCAATCGTTTCAACATGTTTTGCGTTGTTGTTTTTTTTTTTTTTAATATCGCGGCAGTGATGAACGTTAGTAAAATAATAACGTGTCCGTGAAGCTATTAGCCCGAGTATTAGCCACACAGCAAAATGTTTGACTTTTTTCAACGCAAATCATTAGTGAGTTGCTTGCAAGTAATTCTAAGCATCCAACGGTGGTTTCTTATGCAACTACTAAAATATTCATGTTAATTATTTTGGCGGCTAACTGCATGGCAGAAGGCAGTTTATTTAAAAATTTGATTTTGCTTAAACTGTTTGTTAGTATATCGTTTTGTAAGGATTTAAATAATTAATTATAAATTTTTAATAGAAGCAGCTGTTTTTTATGCATATTAACTTTGACTTGCACTTTTAATTACGTATATCATATGCTTGCGCATTATAAACCTCATTTTTTTGTATAGGGTGTAAATATTTTTTGTTCACTACATATTTGTCATACTGTTTCAGAAACATTCAATTGTAAATTTTAGGCTTGAACATTTTGAACGTAATTTTAAATTCGGAAAACAATTGTTACTCAAATGGGGTCGAAAGCATGTAAAGATTGTCCAGAATTTAATTTGTTTTACAGCCCTGTCGTCAATTTCATTGTACAGCCAAAGAGCATGTTAGGGGAAAGCCGATGTTTCCGGTACCCAAATTCGCCGTGTACCGGACAGTCTGGCAGGTAGGTAAATTTACAAATTTCTTGGTTACCTCCATACCATTGTTGTTTTAACCGGATTGAATTAATTTGGGCAACGTTAAACAAAAATATTAGAAAAAATAATAAAAACCCTAAATTTAGTGCAGAAACCGTCGAACTTATTAAACACGAAGTTGAGAAAATTGATAGCGAATTGTGGAATAAATGTATAAACCAATGTAATAAAAATTGAGGAAACGTACAGATCTAAATTTGTAAAGGAATTAATTATAAATCTAAGCGACAGCGATTGTGAGATGAATAAAACGTTGCTTGTTATTATTTGTTGTTTGTATCCCTTAAGTTGCTACCTGACCGACCGCGAATTAAATAACTCTTTTTCAAACTTGCGTTTTTAAAAAGTTTATTACGACCAGCAGTAAGACAGTATAGCAACAAGACTGATTAACAATTCAAAATTGAGCATTATATATGCATATTTATCGTATTGGTAAATACATGATATTCTATTGATAAACACATGATACAAATAAATGACTAATATAACTCCTCCCTCGCTAAGTCGGAAAATAATACGGATGTATTATTTTGCGATGTTCCTTCCTTCTTGGCGCTTGATAAATTTGGATCAGGTGAAGTGTTGTCGTCGGAGGCGAAGGCGGTTTTTCTGCATATGGCTCGGAGACGACCTCGATGTTTGGCTAATAACCACGTACAAGGGGCTAAAAGTAGAATAATAATTACGAAGGTATACGTGAAATGTACTTCACGATTTTGCGTAATAATGGGGGGCGACAATTCTGCGGCTTTCTTCTTTAGTTTCGATATTTCATCCAGATCAGGGTGGTGTAGAATGATACGTCGTGTTGTGTGTTGTTCCACAACTTCTGGTACTTCAATTTTCGGTAGCAGGAATGGCTCTGCTGATATCGAATTCTCTTCGTTTTTATATCGGAAACCTTCACATTCAATTTCGCAATGATGTGGAATCTTCAGGAGGCTGGGTTCTTGAATAATCGAATAACCAGTCGCAATACAGGTCTTCTTGACTTTTAGCGGGCTTCCAGTTGGGATTAGCAGAAGATAATTGTGGCTGACAGGTTGCTTAATTGGCCTGTAGATGTGGACATTGGCCAGGCGGCAGTTCTTGCTATCAGTATTGTGGATAAGGGGCATTACGCAATCATCTTCATTCCAAGTCAGCTTGTCTTTGCAGATTCGGACATTTTCTACCTTTGGACAATCGTCTTCTTCGTATTGGTGGAGTTGAGAGCCGAGTATTAGGTACGGGTTTGGAGGTATGATTGTAAGGTTATTTTTTGGAATAGGGTATAGATGATAATATTCAAATACTTCAGAGTTAAAAACAGGCATATGAATAACAAATATTATTTTATTTTTAAAAAAGGAAACTTTTAAATTGGCAATTTGGTAATAAGAATGAATAGTTTTGAATTGAACGATTTTATCTTGACCGTACAAATTAACCAAAGTGTTAACAATATTTTTTAAATCTGAAACGTTTATCACAGAACTGTGAAGAGTATTTAATTTAGAAAATGTTATTGCATCTTCTAAGTTATCTAACAACGTAATCAAGTTCTGACAATTTAGTATTACCTGGTCTAAGGTGTTCTGAGCTCTGATATACCCTGTAATATCATTAAATGTTTTTTGAATATTATTTTGAAAATAGTTTAACCTATATGCAATCAATTCCTGATTTTTGTCCAGAGTTGTTATTGTACGATTATAATGATCAATTAAACTTTGGGTCAGAGAGGTCTGGAGTTGTATTTGTTTATTAAGTGCATTTTGATTTTCGAACAAGGTTTTAACGGCCTTATCATAACGATCTGCATCATCTGAATCTAAAGTACCAAACAAGAATTTTGAAGTTTTTCCTACTAAATCGATTAAAGCTCGTTTTTGTCTTACATGTGGTGTTAGATTGTTTAGTTTGTTAGTAGCCTCTATTATAAGGTAATGGGCGTGTGTTAATAGGTTTCTTAGCACGTTATGATAAATGAGACTTTGTGTGTTATTTGAGGATGAGTTATGTAGCATATCGCTCATAGTGTTAAAATAAATTTTCGTGTTATCTAATAGGGTAATTAGTGGTTCTATTTCAATAAAATGGATAAAAGTGTGTGCACTTTCAATTATTCTACCTTGACCCAAGCGAAATGGAAGAATTTGGCTGTGGATCGGTGTTACGTCAATGTTTTGATTCTGTGAGACATGGGCTAAGACAAGGAGAGCGATCAGGATTTTGAGATGAGTCATCATGTACCTGAAAAGATGTTTTTTGTGGATAAGTCTTTCTTGGTTTTTTAATACATGATTTGTGATATGCTCCCTGTTTTGTTGTTAGTTTATTACTATTGTCTGCAATGGCAAAGGTTTGGTTAAACTTAGGTTTCGCTTTATTTCTGTTTTTTGTTTTGACATAGACGGTTTCGTTAGGCTTACACGTTACGGGTTCTTCTCTTTTGGCATTTAAATTTTGGATAATATGTTCTTTTTTATTTTCAGATGTTCTTTTGATGTTGTCATATAATAACTTTACTTTATCTTTGTGATTCTGTATATAGTCTGTAATGATGTTTTTATCAGACAATTCGAAAGGGTTACCACTGTTAATATGGCCTTTAATTACTTCGAAAGGCGTGTAACCTGTTACAGAATGTATGGCATTATTATATCCAATAATTGCATGCTTCATTAAGGTATTCACTTCTTCGCGTGGTTTATCTAGTTTTAAACATCGAATTTCTTCGGCGATTGTGGAGTGGAACCGTTCGACTGGAGAATTACTATTAGAATTTTTCGGTGTCGTGTAATGTAATTCTATTTTGTGTAACTTGCAAAAATCTTCTAATAAATTATTCTTAAATTCACTGCCACAATCAGTTGTTATTTTATAGGGCATGCCATGGTGTGAGATAAAATTGAGCAAACTGTTAA